CAAATGCGTTATGAGGTTAGCTCCTTCATCCGCCCAGCCCGGGCTATTCGTTGTCCACCTGACGCCACTTCCAGCTAGCGTTGGTTTCCACAAACATAACAAGACGAGGAAGCCGCAGTGTTGTGAGTATCTTTTGCATTGCGTATATGAAAGTGACTGGTTGTTTCTCTCAACAGTCAGGAATGAACAAAACCTGTCAGAACGAATTATTGGTAACTACGGACAATGCGCATCAACCGTCGGACCATTCCACTGATTATCCTGTGCATGTGGAACTTCTGAAGACCTGTTGCGAATGAGACGTTTTGTTGTATGTATGCCAATTTATCGATACCATTACCGTTGTTCGTAATAAATCAATATTTTCATCCAAGCACACTTTGAGAAATTATAACAGTTGGGCTGGCATTTGCAGCATATGTCCCAGTCTTTATAGCTAGTTGGTGGCACTTAGAGGTTGAATAAGATTCTTCGGCAAACCTCGTCGTTGGTGATTCACTGGTGCCAACGTATTCTGGCGATGCAAAGAAGGCCTTATTGATACGAGTTGGTATTTCCTCTGTCAGTTCGCTTGAGTTAATACTGATGGTGGATGAAGGGAAGAGGCGGCGGTAGACCTTGACGCAGCCTGATTTTTCTGAACAGACGGCTGTGAGAAGGTTTACGTACTTTTCAGATACACCGGTACTTAACGGACAAATCCGAAGGGCAGCTCAAACCACTTAGTCAAACGGAGCACGTATGTCCAGAAAGACAACCGCCGTCGGTTTACTGAACGTTTGACGTCGCTCGAGAATCTGATGTAGCGTAAATTTTAATCAACGTAGCTCCGGTTGTAATCCAGCTTGCTCCTCAATGATATGACACTCTCTTATCCAACTGAGCCTGCGAGGGATCGATGATTTTAACACCTTGGATGCAATGGAGATTGGAGCAATTGCGGAAGGGCTTTCTTGAAAGCACGTACAATGTCCGTCAAACTCTTTTCGGATGGAATGGATTCTCCATTCCTGATGGTTTGGAATAAGGAAGTTATTTCTCGGGCAAGACTTGCACCATCGTCTTTGAAAATGACCGGATGAAGTTCATCTGACGCGAGCGATTTACGTCGTTTCAGAAGTCTGAACCTTCGGAAAAAATCCTTTTTCATTACACAATGTGAATTACAGTAAACGGAGAATCCCCACGGACAAATAGCATACCTTAAAAGGGGAGAGTAGGGGAACATTCACGTAAGATCCAGTTTATTGATTCTGCGTTAGAAAAGTGTAAGATTGTATT